GCCCGGGCCGCGGGCTACGACCTGTACAGGTGAGCGGGGACCTCCCGGCGAGGAGGCTGGGAAGGGCCGGCCATCCGCTGCCACAGCTAGAAACAGTCATCGAAGAGATCACAGGAACACACTAGCTATAAATAGGATTTCTGCCTTTTTCATATTGAAAATTTTAGCTTTCATCTTTGGCATAAATTAAATAGAGATTTGGGCAAAGACTGCAGAATAAGTAAAATAACTATACGGCGTCTAGCAAGGCGTTACTTTGCAACGTTTATTGTGCCCTTCCTAAATAGAAGATAGAGAGGAAGGCACATGGTGGCTTTCGAGTGGCCTGAGGGTGATGCTGTGCTCAATAGAAAAGCCAAGGTGAGAGCCTAGATGTGAGCGTGAAAACACCTAAGAAGGATGAACAGAGATGCATCTGCCTTAAAAAGTTATTTTCTATACATTCATCTGGCCCCAGGGCGGAATTTCAGAAGGCATCCGAATACGAAAGGCAGAGCTGCCTGTAATACTACCACACTTCATCTCTACAGCACGTTTTACCTGTACTAAAAACCCTCCTTATGCTGTTGTATTTAGTCCTCACAACAATCCTTAACTAGGTAAGTGTTACTTTTTACGCAGGCAGGAGTTTGTGAAGAGCTGAATTGATTTCCCCAGAGACTTGAAGATGATACCATTTTTTATCCCGAATTTTGGGCTTTTTTTTTTTTTTTTCTTTTGACTACTGTGCCAGTTTTTAGAGCCATTAAGGTAGGAGAAAAGTAATGCTGAGAGGGAAGGAGAGTTTATACTAAATCCCAAGCATTGGGATTTATTTTAAAGTTTCTCAGGTAATTCAAACATGAGAACTATTGGTCTAAGCACAGAAGAGAAAGTAGTGCATGATGATAGCAACAGAAAAGAAAGGAAAAGGAAAGTAGGTATGGGCAATTGCAGCTGGAAAAACTACGGTCTCTTAATTTTAATGAATAAAAGAGTGATGTAGTTTGACTAGACCTTTCCGAAGTATATTTTGGAGCACTTTTTTGAGTCCTAGGGGAGTCCTTGATTTAAGATACCTTAAGTAGCCTCATAATAAATTCAGGTGACCTGTATACTGAAATAGACGTGGAAATAATGTATCTGTAATAAATTAGGCCATAACTATTTAAAGAGGGGTTTCAGCGAAAGAAGGGGAAGTATAGTACTGCTTTACCAGACTTAATGCAGTTCTCCAAAGTAAACTTCTGGTTCTGCTCATTGTAAAAATCTCTTAAATTTCCACCCAGCAGAGGGCCACAGTAATAGCAAGAGTAGCAGCATTTGCTACGTGGATCTTAGAGGAATTCTGTTCCTAAACAAGGTCCATCTCCAGGGACTGTTCACAGTGATCAGCTCTCTCCCTCAGCCAGGAAATTCATCGCCTAAGCTTGGCAAACCACCAAGCCCCGCCTGACAGATACAACACAGTTCTTTATCCCTCTTATTTTGTCCACCCATTTTCTCCTTTCCTTCTGCAGATATTCCCTAATCACATAAATGATTGTGAGACTAAAATGAGTTAATATATGTAAACCAGTTAGAACTGTGCCTGGCACATAGTAAAGGCTTAATCAGTGATAGCTAGTATTATTAGTAATATTTGGCCTTTTTTCTTTGTTCTTTCTTCATTTTTTTTCCTTTTCAAACTATGGTAGTAAAGCATCCACCTTTTGAAAGTTTGCCTTTCTGCCCTTTCATGCTAATAAGTACCTCAGTTTCCCAATAAACTTTTGTTCAGGGGCAAAGATTTACAATGTTGACATCTCTTCACACCACCAAAAATATTCACGGAGAATTATTTTATCTAAAGCTGTCATTTTAATAATAAAATAACTACCTCTACCTTCTTCATAAACTTTTAAGATGAATTGGGAATTCATCATAGCAAGGTTGATTTTAGAAACTAAAGTTCATTAATTCATTAAATATATTGAAAGCAATTTTATATGCTTGGTCACAAAGAAAATACAAAAACAATTTTATAAATACATTTGCAGTTATTTTCTTTCAATATTTTCTTAGTGCCTATGATTACACAATACCACCTATGGAGAAAGCTCTTGTGAAAACGGACATTCAGATAGCGCTCCCTTCTGGGTGTTATGGAAGAGTAGGTGAGTCATTTAAGAAACAGGTAACTATTTGTCAAGTTCTCCTTTGTGATACGTTCTTCATGTTTCATTTGGGGTAATAAGCAGGCAATATTGCTTGGGCTGTGTCCTAAAAGAAGCACCATTTGTGATAGCAAATGCACTGTTTGAAAGGCTTTATTTACATCTTTGCTTTGCCTCTTTTTGACCCTTTTGTTTTTCTCTTTCCTCACTGGAGCTTTTAGGCTCACATTGGCCTAGAAGGCTGTTCTCAGAACATGGCATTTTATATTAGGAGAGTAAAACTTGGGACCTTGTTGGTCCCAGAGTGTGTAAGCCTACTTAACCTTTTCTTGTTTGGTCGTGGGGTTAGGGTAAGGGATACTCTTCAGTGTTGTAGAGGCATTGGGAGGAGGTAGGACAAAATGGAGTACAAGTCAACAGGTTTGATTTTTCTGGAGCGTATCAGTTGTTACCAGACAGTTCTTTGCAAGAGCGTAAGTTCTTTTTGACTAACCAGAGTAAACATAAAGGAGTCAATGGAGCTGTGATGCCCTCCTCCAGGGAAAGGAGTTAGACTGGCACTATCTTATTAGCCATGAGTGGGGAAACTGCCAGTACTTCAGCCCTTAAAAGATAACAAGATGGCCTCTCATCTCATCTCTTGGGCATCATTGACTGCATTTTTTAGAGTTTTTTCAGGGGAGGGGGCAGGAGATGGAGTGAAATAAAGGTTAGTATAGAAAGAGGCAGCATTATTGACAAAGTGCCTGATTTAAATTATTATAAAATAAAATACTAGTTAGGATAATTAATTATAGACCTGATGCTTGAGTCTGCAATAATAAGGTGTAACCATAGCTTTTTATTTTTTCAGTTTTTAGGATTAAAAAGTATACTAGTATTGAATCATTGAGACTTAGTTTTTGGCATTTTTAGTTAACTGATATTAGCCTGTTTATCTTACTCTGGTTCATGTGTTTCCTACAGACATGCCTTTTGGCATCTGAATCATGAATAGTGGGGTCCCAAGTTGTAGTCTATGCTCTGCTACTATTTGGTTAGGTTTGTTTCCATCTCCCTTCCCCTTCCTTTCCCTTCCCATCTACATTGTACATGTTGTGGGTTCCCATCTTAAAGCCAAAGTCGTCTTCCTCAGTAGTGTTGCTGCTGGCCACACTCCTCTTTCTTCCCCTTTGAGGCTTAACTTCTTGAAAGAGCAGCCTACGGTCGTTCCCGTTTGCTCACCTTTCAGCTCATTCTAGCAGTCCTTCTCCCCTGTCTGCAGCACCACAAATTCTAACTGAAGTCACATGGGAGTGGTTTAAGTTAGTTTTGAATTAAAACCTTGTAGAATTTTCCTAAACTAGTCTTTCCAACTTTGGTAATGTAGTATGATGAATATATATTCTTTAATTCAAAACCATGTGCTAAAGTTAAGATGAAGATGTAGATATTATAGATGAAGAGAATGACATGCTTAAATTGCATCAGTTATCTCTGGTATAGCCCTTCCCCCTTAAAATAACCAGTGTCTCCTTTTTTGTTTTTTAGCTCCACGGTCAGGCTTGGCTGCAAAACACTTTATTGATGTAGGAGGTAATGCATTTCCTTTTTTATTCTGTAAATGTTTGCAAGCATTTACTTTGTCTTTGTTTAAAAGGTAATATTCAAATGACAGATTTTATTTTTAAGAAAATAAAATGATTAGAGGAAAGCTTGTTATAATATGAGGAGGCAAAGCTTTGTGGTTATTTTAAGCAATTATATTTTGCTTAACTACTAACTTAATTTTTAAAATAATTACCTGATTATTAATGACTTAGATTTAATGATGTAATAATTAGGTAATTATTTAAGCAACAAGAGTTCTAGAAAACACAAGGCTATCTTGTAAGAATTTTCTTCATAAGAGAGCTATCTGTCTTTAGCAAAATATAACAAGAAAATCTTTCCCTGAAGTCAGGAGAGAAAACACTTTTCTCTAAATTTGTCAAGACAGTCCTCTGTGGTACCTGTTTCCCTTATAATAAAGCCTTTCTCATGTCTCCCAAAGTTAACCCTACCTCATGTGGTACCTTTCATGAAGAACCTTCAGTGTCCTCTGCTAACTACTCTTGCTACAGAGCTACTCCTCTTATCGTAAGGAAACTTCTACTTTCCTAATGTGGTTTCCTTGTTTCAGGTCTCCTCCAACTGGGATCCAGACCCCACTTAATGTGGTCCCCACATACTGATCCTTTATCCCATCAGTAGTGAATGTTTCATTTAACAAGATATCTTGGCCCCACATAAGTAGGTATGCTAGATCTCCTCCACCCCTTTTTACAGAGCTACTTTATATAGCTCTGGCTTAGAAATGAGCCCACGTGGATATGTGGTTAAAAACTGGAGTCTCTGGCCGGGCGCGGTGGCTCAAGCCTGTAATCCCAGCACTTTGGGAGGCCGAGACGGGTGGATCACGAGGTCAGGAAATCCAGACCATCCTGGCTAACACGGTGAAACCCCGTCTCTACTAAAAAATACAAAAAAAAAAAACTAGCCGGGCGAGGTGGCGGGTGCCTGTAGTCCCAGCTACTCGGGAGGCTGAGGCAGGAGAATGGCGTGGACCCGGGAGGCGGAGCTTGCAGTGAGCTGAGATCCGGCCACTGCACTCCAGCCTGGGAGACAGAGCAAGACTCCGTCTCAAAAAAAAAACAAAAAACAAAAAAAACTGGAGTCTCTGTGTGATTCCAACCCCCTCGTTCTTTCCACTGCAATTAAGTGTGAAGATTACCCTGCTGCATCCCCCTCACCAACTAAACACGTCCTGAATTAGCTCACTTTTATGTGCCACTGCAAGGGCTAACTAAGCACTTAATGAAACCTGGCTATCCTTAGTCTGACATTTGGTGGGCGTGGTATCTCTCCATAGTGTCACTAGGTGGTGCTGTTGGCCAAGACAGGACCCCAAAAGTACCCAGTTCTTAGGGACTAAAGGGGAGCTAAGTTTTACATAGCAGGGATGGACATTGGCAGCCCACTCTCGGGTTGAAGATTCCTTGGGCTCTGTAAGTTATGCTCTGTAAGTTGACCGTTTACAACGTCAACTATGGTCATTTGGGACTGTAACTTAAGGATATAAATGATTGTATATATTTTCAACGAAGTTTCAAATGATTGTGCAAGGAACAGGAGCTTTGGAATAACAACTGGATTTAGGTCCCAGCTCTGTCACTAACTAGTTATTAACCTTTCTGAACCTGTTTCCTCATCTTTCAATGGAAATTAGTGTGCCTGCCTCTGAGAGGTGGGAGGATTAAATGATAATATGTATGAAATACCTAATACAGTGCTTGGCACATATTAGATTCTGTGAGATATAATTTCTGTCCTTAGGGACTTCACAGATTGTTTTTATGTGGAAACTTTTTCTTTTTTTCGACTTTGTTACTAATTTTTGCTCTGTTTAAAACAACTTTCTGGAAAAAAATTCATGTAAAAGAATGGAAAGTTAGTTTGCCTGGTGGTTGGTATGGTATTATTCATAAAATTACACTGTGGTGTGTTCTTGGATGCAGAGAACCTTAACAGTCTCCCTTAGGCACAAGTTTATCATAGTTGGCAACAGTTTTTATTTCTGAAAAGAAATGTTGTTAGAAATCCCAGGCTGTAAATAAGGGTCAAAGGGAAAAGTTGAGCATTCAGGATTCTGTTCAGAATTCACATCTGGTAGGTGTGGATAGTTTTTCACTAAAAAAAGGTTTCCAACAAATGACATGCCAAACTCTTGACACAGTAAAACTTTTGCCTGAAGTCAGTTAATCACTCTGCCAGTTCCAATGCATGATTTTTCCAGTGATAACTTCAAGATACTTTCTGCTTTCTCTGAGGAAAAATGTCCCTGATACTTATATCCTGTAGGCAGAGAAGGCTTTTCTTGAATGTCGAATGGCAATTGGGTGATAAATGAATTTGGAACTACTGGAAGTTTTATACCATCAGCATTCATGTTAGAAAAAATGTTGAGGGCCTTTTTTTCTGCCATACGTTTGAATTGACTTCAAACTACTTAATTTCTTGTAGTCAGTTACAGGTTTTTCATATTTTCTTGGCCCAAGTATAAAGATCACCTGTCTCTAGAATTCAAGACATTTGAGTAGTTCTGATAGGACTGCTTTACAGGTACAGCAGAGGCCTTTGCAAAAAGGGAATGTTTTTGTATGTTAGAAGATACTATAAAGCCAACAAGCAAATGTTTACAATTTATATGAAAAAGAACAAATGAGAAAAAAAAAATGAACAAAATATAGACGAGGACATGCAAATGTCCAACAAATGGGAGGAAAAAAGTCCAGCCTCACTAGTCATCAGGGAATGAAAAGTAAGGCAATGAGATAACCATTTTGTACTCATCATATTGGCCAGAATGTAAGAGATTGTTGCCATCAGATATTGGCAAGCATTTTGGAAATGGGCATTCTCAAATATTGCTGATGGAAGTTTGAATGGCTACACCTTTTTTTGCAACCTATTTGATGAAAATAAAAAGTATTAATGTACAAGGATATATTTAAAGGGCTTCTTTATTTTTTATAGCAAAATGTAAAAGCAGCGTGTGTCTGATATTATGTAAGAGAATAGTCACATAGAAACATATGGTACAGGTTGGGCATCGTGGCTCATGCCTGTAATCCCAGCACTTTGGGAGACTGAGACAGACAGATTGCTTGAATCCAGGAGTTTGAGGCTCATTTGAGCAACATAGGGATACTTTCTTTCTACAAGAAATACAAAAATTAGCCAGGTGTGGTGGTGCCTGCGCACCTAGAGGCTGAGGTGGGAGAATCACTTGAGGTTGAGGCTGTAGTGAGTTGTGATCATACCACTATACTCCTGCCTGGGCTATAGAATGAGACCCTGCCAAAAAAAGAAAGAGAAAAAGAGATACCATATTTCCATATCTTGTATCTAAAAAGAATGGCTAACATTTACATTTATTAATCTCAAAGGATAAATAGAAAAAAAGTAGTATGTAAGATATATTTCCGTAACATTAGCTATATCAGGGAGGGTAAGAGAATATTATAAGCTTTTACTTTATATGTATTTGCACTGTTTTGGTTATTTAAAAATTTTCAAATACAGTAGAAACAGAATAGTTCAGAAGTCGGTCAGTCCATATTGTCTTTCTCTAACTCATTCAAGATAGATGAATTACTAGCCTGTACCTCAAAATCTCCCAGCATGGAAGTTCTCTAGCCTACTGTGGCCATTTTTTCTAACATGGAACAACATGCTATGTTGAGGGATTTCTTCATTAAATCTAATTTAAATTGTCCCTGCAGTCAAAATTTTTTCCATATAGGTAATGTAGAAAACAGCTGGTTTCATCTTTATATCAATTTTTTTCATAAATATTAAGGTCTAAATTAACGGTCAACTGACAGTGGAGAAATAAAGCAGGGTTTGGTAATTTGAATTCGTCAAGTTCAATAATTGATTGTTTCCTTCAGACCAGACAGGAGAGGAACTGCCTTTGCTGCTTTTCTGCCCAGTTTTATACTCACTCTTCTCGTAAAAGTATTGCATCAGGAACCTTTTAAGAAGTGCTTAAATTCAGATTCACTTGTCCCTAGTAATTCATTCATAAAGCACAGGGGTTCATTTAAATGTATGTTGTAATCCATTCGGAAAATCTAAAATGTTGTTTTTGCTGAATATGGTGGACCTAAGCGTTTGCTTTTTTCCCCCCTTATATGAGAAAATTGAAAGGATATGCTTTGGAATTACCTTTGTTCTAAAAAAATGGGGGGGTGGGTATGTTTTGGGGTTTTTTTTTTGTTTTCTCAGCTTTCAAATAATGAGAAGTATGGGCAAATAGCATTACTGCCCATTGAGCTGAACACATGATTATTTTTAGTTCCATATTTTTTCCTTCATCAGCGTTTTTGTTGGGGGTAGAATATTAATAACAAGTAAGATATGACATGGAGCTGTATTCAGTTAGATTCACGTGAGTCCTATCAAGCCTTTCACAAACTGAGGGGAAAGAATTACATGTATAGCAGGAAATTGGGAGTGGAAGGAGGAAGGGAAGTGACAGCTAATAAGGTAGGGGATTTTCGGAGGGAGGGTAATGAAAATGTGCTATTATTGACTGTGACGATAGTTGGCCAACTCTGATACATTATAAACTGTGGAACTGTAACACTTTAAATGGATAAATTGTATGCTTTGTGAATTATTTATCAATATAAAAAAACGAAAAGGCCTGATGCACCTGTATTATCTGTGCTTGTGTTTATGGAAATATTTTAAATTATTGGCTCAAAGATGAATGCTAGCAAGTCTGGTAAGTATAACTCTCTGGGCTATGGCAGGGACCTGGCTCAAGTCTCCCCTGCAAAGATCTTCGCCCACTATGTTCATAATCTCAAAGAAGTACTAATTACACATATAAAGTTGTACTCATGAAGCCTATGTGCTACTGTCTTCTGAGAAATCATGCTCTAAGAAAGGATGGTGGTTCAAATTAGAAGGAGAGGAAGATTATGAACTGAAAAGTTCAGGTACATTTTTAGTGTACAAATGGAATGTTCTAAGATTTGCGAGACTGCTGCTTAACAATGTCAGCGTTGACTTATTCCGCTGCAGAGCTTTAGGCTTTTTTACATTTTTGTTTATGACTCAATAGTATTTCAATCTGGGTATTAGTGGGAAGCTGATACCAGGAAAAGCCTTTAAAACCCAAACTGTAATTTTCTCCTAGTCTTTTTGGCAAGTGTGCGGTGGGTAGACAGTAGGTTGGAGATAGTCATTGCTACTCCCAGCTTAAAAGAGGAAATGGTTGCCATTTGATAAAGAGTGACAGGTTGGAAAATTAGGATGTGTTTTCTAAATTTTTATTTGTATTTTAGTAATATCATTTCTTGGTTTTGAGGCTTTACATAGTACCAGGGCAAGATTCACTTATTCAATTGTAAGAATACAAATCTCAGAGCTACATAACAATGATTTTGAGATCTTACACCTCTAGTATTCAGATAGCAAAAATTGAGATGATACTATTTTTCTTTTTTCTAGCTGGTGTCATAGATGAAGATTATAGAGGAAATGTTGGTGTTGTACTGTTTAATTTTGGCAAAGAAAAGTTTGAAGGTATGTTAAATATATACATTCACATAATTCTAGTGAATTTTTGGAGTCATGTATGTGTAAATAATATTGACTCCTTTAATTCTCATTGAATAAGAGAGGATGTGGAGAATGTCAGTAATATCAATAATAAACTATTCTTTCTTTGAAGTCAAAAAGGGTGATCGAATTGCACAGCTCATCTGCGAACGGATTTTGTATCCAGAAATAGAAGAAGTTCAAGTAAGTATTATAAAGTATGATAGAGAATAAGTAATACAACATCTTAAGTGAAGAAATATGTATAATCTTGAGGATTTAATATACTGTTTGTAACTAAATAGTATATATGACTAAACTTATTTTAAGCAAATTTAAAATACTAGTTTTAAGAATTTCTTAAAATGTTTTTTATGTAGCTATTATGTAGTATTTACTTTACATAAGTTATTTAAACATACTGTGAACTTCTAATATTTTATTAGAATTTTTAAAAATTATCCAATATTCTAATTTATGGAGCTTTTTAGAATTTAATTTTCTTCTTCCTGTAATCTCCCTTTTGAAAAGATGATATAGCAAGAGTAGAATTCTGGCTATATTTTTCTTAGGAGCTGGAGAGAAAAACTGAAAGAGACTCTAAAAAAACTGTGAAGCTTCCCACCTTTCTATCTGTCTATCTTTCAGGCTTTGGATGACACCGAAAGGGGTTCAGGCGGTTTTGGTTCCACTGGAAAGAATTAAAATTTATACCAAGAACAGAAAACGAGAAGTCATACCTTTTTCTTAAAAAAAAAAGTTTTTGCTTAAAGTGTTTTGGTGTTTTGCACTTCTGTAAACTTACTAGCTTCACCTTCGAAAAGTACTGCATTTTTTACTTTATTTTTTTTTTTTATGGTCAAGGAAGAGATCATAAAAAAATAAAACACAAAGCTTTTTGTGTTTGGATCAAAAAGAAACTTTGTTTTTCTGCAATTGATGGTTGTATGTAAATCTGCTTTGTGGTGACCTGATGTAAAGTGTCTTCTTAAAATCAAATGTACATCAATTACAGATTAAAAAAAAAAAACCTGTATTTAACTCAAATGATCCCCCTTCAGCAACTTATTTTGCTTTAATTCCTTTAAATCTTAAGCAATATTTTGTATTCAGTAAACTTAAATTCTTACACAAGGTACAAAATCTTGCATAAGCTGAACTAAAAGAAAATGAAATGAAAAGGAGAGATTAAAGGTATTCCTTGTTCTTCCTTCTCTTCACTAGTTTAAAAACTTCTTTTTAATCTTAAGATTCCTTGTGATGAGAGTGAGAAGAGAATCCTCAGTTTATTTTTCCACTATTAATCTTTTGATAAATCCTCTATTGACTGGGTAGAGGTATGTTTGTGAAAGACATGTAACTTGGGGATTTGTTACCTTTGTTTTGTTCCCCTGAATTTCATCTCATCAGGCAAGTTGTACTAGTTGTAGCTATGAGTTTCCCTAAGTGAAGTAGCAATAGGCTGTAATCAAGAAAATATGCCATTTACAGGGATAAGATAAATGAAATAATACATACTTCGGCCACCAGGTTTTTCTGTCTCACATACATAAGCAGCACTTCATTGCAGATACGGAACTGATTCTGTGGCTTAGCTTGATTGACATCTTTTGGAAGTTTCTGCTAGTGTGCTTTCCTTTCTTTACTATGTTTCTCAAATTCCTTTGTGTCAGGGTTTTTTGGTGTCACTTAGGTTTTGTCCATCAGATTCTGAGACACCAGGCATCATTTTGAGGATGTGGGTTATACACATGGAGTGCTTCTGGAACTATCAGTTCGCTTGGCCACCCAGTTTGTGGAAGCACAGGCAAGACTGTTCTTTTCTGGTGATTCTCCAAGCCATTTAATACCCTGCAATGTAATTGTCCATCTGTGGGGTCACAGTTCATTAGTGAGTCATGAAATCAACTCACTGGGACATAGCCACCATTTTTGTGTACTGCATTGGGCTATAAATTATTTCTGTTGTCAGTAAAATTTAAATGTTTTTCTGCTAAACTAACCAGAATGGATTCTGTTTTGTGCACCTGAACTGTGATCAATACCGAATAACAGTTGAGTAAGAACGAACAGTATTACATGGCTACCGAGAAATATGGTCTTAGTTTACACTGTTAATATTAGTTACCTCTTACAGAAAGTCTGCTGTAGGCTGGGCGCGGTGGCTCACGCCTTGTCCTAAAATCGTGGAGGCCTCTGCTATGATTCACCTATGGGAGCCTGCCAAAGGCTCCAGACAGCATCCCTATCTGCCACTGTCACCTCAAGCACCATTGGATCTGCTGGGTCATATGGCCCAAGTGGCAGAGCAGCTTGCACAGCTGTTGCAGAGCCTTCTGTTCTGGATCCCACTCAAAACTGGCAGCCTTTCAGGTCACTTGATAAATGAGCTGGAGTAAGATACCCAAATGAGGAATGTGTTGCCTCCAAAATCCAAATAGGCCCACTAGGCGTTGTGCTTCTTTCTTGGTTGTAGGAGGGGCCAAATGCAGCAACTTATCCTTTACCTTAGAAGGAATATCTCAATAGGCCCCACACCGCTGGACCCCTAGAAATTTTACTGAGGTAGACGTTCCCTGAATTTTAGTTGGATTTATTTCCCATCCTCTGGCACACAAATGTCTCACCAATAAGTTCAGTGTGCTTTCTACTTCTTGCTCACTGGATCCAATCAGCATAATGTCATCAGTGTAATGGACCAGTGTGATATCTTGCAGAAGCAAAAAGCGATTAAGGTCTCTCCAAATAAGATTATGACACAAAGCCAGAGAGTTAATATACCCTTGAGGTAGGATAGTAAAGGTATATTGCTGGCCTTGCCAACTGAAGGCAAATTCTTTCTGATGGGCCTTATGGACAGGAATGGAGAAAAAGGCATTTGCCAAATCAATGGCTGTATACCAGGTACCAGGAGATGTGTTAACTTGCTCAAGCAATGAAACCACATCTGGTAGAGCAACTGCAATTGGAGTCACCACTTGGTTAAGCTTATGATAATACACTGTCATTCTCCAAGATCCATCTGTCTTCTGCACAGGCCAAATGGGAAAGTTGGATGGGGATGTGATGGGAATCACCATCCCTGCATCTTTCAAGTCCTTGATGGTGGCACAATAATCTCCACAATCTCTCCAGGGATTCAATATCGTTTTTGATTTACTCATTTTTTAGGTAGAGCCAGCTCTAATGGCTTCCATTTGGCCTTTCTCACCATAATAGTCCTCACCCAGTCAGGGACCAGTGTGGGGGTTCTGCCAGTTGCTCAGTATGTCTATGCCAATTATGCATTCTGGCATTGGGGAAATGACCACAGGATGAGTCCAGGAACCCACTGGACCTACTGTAAGTCGGACCTGAGCTAAAACTCCATTAATTTTCTGACCTCCATATGCCCCTACTTTAACTGTAGGACTATAATGACATTTTGGGTTCCCTGGAATCAATGTCAGCTCAGAGTCAGTGTCCAGTAGTCCCCAAAATGTCTGATTATTTCTCTTTCCCCAGTGCTCAGTTACCCCAGTAAAAGCCAGAGGTCTCCTTGCAGAAGGATGAGAGATTCACTGCATAAATTGTCGGTAATAGAGTGGGGTCCTTCCTCAAGAGAACCTGGCCTTCCCTTCATTCAAGGGGTTCTGGGTCTGTAAACTGGCTCAAGTCTGGAAACTGATTGCGGGGCCATGATTCTCTGTTTTTATAATTCAAATTGCAGTAGGCTTCCTATCAATTTCATTTCTAGGAACACTGATTAATTAGCCAATGCCAGAGCTCTACACGAGTCAGACTATTCTGATTGCCGCTTTGCCTCTGCTGTCCATTATGGTTACTACGCCCACTTTGCCTTTGATGGTTGAGGGCTGCCACTTGGCCCCTGCCACCTCAGGATCCAATTATTCCCATTGGATTTAAATTTTGTAGTTGAGTGGCTGCAGTTCCCACCATTAGATCTAACATATAGAGAAGAGCAATTACAGGGCTCTTCAGAGATGCAGATACTGTCCTCACAAATCTATTTCACAAGACATTTGTCAAGGGTATATCTTCTGGACCCTCCCAGCTGGGAGGCGTAGGTCTAAAGTGACTAATCCACTCCACCATCCCAATCTCCCAATCTCCCTAAGCTTTTGGATCCCTTCCTCTACATTAAACCAAAGGAGATCAGGCATTTCCAGCTCACTCACGGTGGGCCAACTTTTAATCCATATTTCAGCTAAACAAACAAACTATAAAAACCTTTTTTAACTCCCCAAGCTATAACATTAAATGCAGAGTCCCTACTTAGTGGGCCCACATCAATAAATTCAGCCTGATCCAACTCTATGTTCCTGCCACCATTATCCCATACACTTGATATCCATCCCATGTCTGTTCTCCAGACTGCTGTTTATATAAATTAGAGAACTCAAGCAGTTCTTGAGTGTAGAGCACCTCCTAATGGGTCATATTCTCAGCCTCACCTGTAGGGGCTCGCTGGGACTTTAGTTTAGTTATAGGTCTAGAAGCAAACAGGAGTGGTGGGGTTGGCTCCTGAGAAGAATCAACATTATTTTGCCTGGAACTGCCTCAGGGGAGGCCATCACTATTGCCTCAGGCAGCGCAGGGTTTATCTCCTCAGACAAAGGTGGAAAGGCTGATATGGCAGCATGGGTCAGGGTGGGGGGATGTTGCCTCTACTGGGGATGGAGAAACTATTCCTTCTGGCATAAAAGGTTCATCAGAAGTTTACAAATTCAATGTCCCCAGCTTCATCAGGGTCCTCCCACACTTCCCCATTCCAAGTTGCAGGGTCTTTTCCAATCAATACCTCACTGTAACAGTAGACACCTCCCAAGGTTGTGCATAAACCTTTCTGTTGCAAGTCAGCCACTCGCATGATAAGAGTTTGTGTCTGTTTTCCCACAACTTCAGCTCTTTCTCTACAGGAGATAAGACTCACTCAGGGCAATCTTAGCAGATTTGAGGCTCAGTATCTGCTTCTGAAGCCAGGAGACGGAATCCCTGAGTTCATCATTTTCTTTCATCACTTTGCTGAACTTAGGAGCAAACAACCAATTTCATTATATTCCTTGGTTGTCCACATATGGTCTAAGGTATTATGTGTAGAGTCGCTAAACTCCTTGCCTCTCATGAGCAGCCTCTCATGAGCAGTGAATCAGGAGTGTCAAATGCATTTATTTTGTGTGACTGTCTAAACAGTTCACACCAAGGACTATCAATGTTCTCCATACTATTAGAAGTAGAGTCCTTAGCATTTTGGGGTCTAATCATATTAAGCAGCCAACTCCAGAAACCCCAAAACCAACAAAAGAACTCCATCCTTAATATTCTGTTCCTCTAGAACCACTTCTGGTACCAAAATCTGTATTAGTCAGGGTTCTCTTAGAAGGACAGAACTGAAAAGGGGAGAGTACTAAGTATTAACTTACAGGATCACCAGCTCCCACAATAGGCTATCTGCAAGCTGAAGAGCAAGGAGAGCCAGTCCAAGTCCCAAAACTAAAGAACTCAGAGTCCGATGTTCGGGAGCAGGAATCATCCACCGTGGGAGAAAGATGTAGGCTCAGCGGCTAGGTCCATCTCTGCTTTTTCACGTTCTTCTGCCCACTTTATCTTCACTGGAAACTAATTAGATTGTGCCCACCAGATTAAGGGTGGATCTGCCTTCCCCAGCCTGCTGAATCAAATGTTAATCTCTTTTGGCAATACCCACAGAGACACACCCAGGATTAATACTTTGTATCCCTCAATCCAATCAAATTGACAGTATTAACCATCACAGGTAGTTTGTGTCTTTTTAGAAGTTTCTCCATTTCATCTAGGTTATCTAATTTCTTGGCATACACTTGTTGATAGTGTTCTTATAATCCTATTTGTTTATTTATTTACTTTTGAGACAGAGTCTCACTCTGTCACCAGCGCGATCTCAGCTCACTGCAATCTCCACCTCCTAGGTTCAAGCGATTCCCCTGCCTCAGTCTTCCTGAGTAGTTGGGACTACAGGCGTGTAGTCTGATATTTTCAAGAATCAAAAGTGGTTTTGATTTTTCTACTTTTTATATCCTCTACTTAATTTATTGCCACTCTAATTTATATTATTTTCTTTCTGATTGCTTTAGTTTGCTTTTCATTTTCTAGTTTCTTAAGATAGAGGATTAGATTATTAAATTGAGATTTTTCTTTTTTTTTAAATATGGCC